GGGGGGGGCGGGGCCCAAGGGCCGCAGGGGGTGTGGGGCGGACTGATTCGACTTCGGGAACGTCCCGCGACACCCCTGCGACGGTCCCCTCGTCCCCGCGCGCTGCCCAACCACGCCCCACGGTCGTTCCCCATTCGCTGGTTAGTCTCAGTCGGTCGGTTTCCACCGCCCCCGAGCTGGCTGGTGTTGGCTCGCCGCCGCCCGCCGCGCACTCTATCTGCCTCGAAAAAGCGCTTTATCCGGCGCCGCCGCCCGAGCGGCTCGATCCACGCGCCGCACTCGTTTATCCCCCCCCCCCCCGACTCTCGGCGCCTTCGCCCCCTGCCCTGCGCCCTCTTCACCCCCCCCCCCCCCGGCTCTCTTTGCTTTCTCCCTCTCCCCTCCTCTCTCTCTCTCTCTCCCCCTCTCTTCTCGCCAGCTCTCCCTTCCTCCGCCGCCCCTCAGCCGCTCCCGCCGCGCTGCGAGCTCGCACACGGAAGGACTCCCTCCCTCTTTTTCTCTCTCTCTCTCTCCTCCCCCCCATCCACTCGCCCTTCCCCTTCCCTCCCCGCCTCCCCTCGGTCGAGAAAGGACGACGCCATGTCTTCCATCACCGGCAGTCTCCTCTCCTGTCTTTGCCTGAACATACGCATTCAGGCCCGGCCGACCGGGGCCGAAGGCGACACCACTGCCCATTTGGCGCACACTGTCCCGTCTTTCCTTGACGCCTCGAAATTTGTACGCCACTCGCCCCCCTCGCCGCCCTGCCTCCCGGACGACAGTTCCTCCACCCGCTCGGGCCTAACTCCGGCATTTGTCGCTGCTCGCCTTCCCACCGCGCCACACTCCGTCAGCTTTATCCCCACCTGGTGGCCACCAGGGCCTTTGGTGATGATATTGGCATCTTCTGTTTCGGCTGCTCCATCTATGCGTTCTTCATCCCCCGCACGGGCCTCCCCCCCGCCGACGCACAGACCACCGCCGCCCAGCAGATCACCCAGGATGCGGCGGCCTATTCCGGCCCTGCCCACCTCAGTAACGCCCTCCTGGTATGCTCATCAGCTTCTTTCCCCGCCCACCGGAGCCGGCATGCCCTGCCCTCCCCCCCCCCTCCTCCCCTTGTCCCTTTCCCTCTCGGCTAACCCGCCGACAATCGCCCCTCCTCCCTTGACCCAGACTGGCGCCATTCTCTCGAGCGCCATCCATCGTCCCGAGTACTCGGCCGCCTTCGGCCTTCTGCTGAACCACCTGCGCAGCCCGCGCCCGGTCTGCTCCGGGGCACTCGCCCCCGAACAGCCCAGCGACACCCCGGCCGCCGAGTGTGGCTGCTGCCCCCCGCCGCCGTCGGTGGCCGTGTCGGACCTGGCCGACCTGCGGAGCCAGCTCCTGGCCAGCCTGCGGAGCCACCTCCGCCTGGCCATTCAGCAGGCCCTCGAGGATCGGCTGACCATCTGGCACTCGGCCCTGGCGCTCGGATGCCTGGACCCGGTGGCTCGGGATAGCCTCCCGACCGGTGATGCCATTGGTCCTGGCGGTCCTCTGGACCTCCCGGCCCCGGACGCGGACCTGGCCCCGGATTTCGTGCAGGCCCTCTGCGCGGGGCCCCGACTGCCCGCCCTGCTGGCGGCCCTCTTCCCCGCCGGCGAGGCCGCCACCGATGTCGCTCCGGCCGGCGATGCTCTCCAGCGTCTTGGGGACTTCGCCATCCGCGCGTGTCCGGCCCCGGCCCTGGCCTCGACCCCCGAGCTGGACACCTCGACCGGGGAGGAGTCCGCTCCGGCCGGCATGGCCCCGGGAATCTTGGCCGCCGCTCGGTCCTTCGACCCCATGCAAACCGGCAGCCCTCAGGAGGGTGACGTCGACCCGGCCCCGGCGCCGGCCATTTCTTCCCCCCGTGCCGGTGGCCCAGGCTCCCCCCAACTTGGTCTCTCCTCCTCCCTGTCAATGGCCCTGAAGGCAGCCACCCCGGCCAACGAGGCCGCCACCATGGAGTTCGACCTTCCCCGCGGAACGGCCGAGGAGATCGGTGATGTTTTGCTCCCGGCCACCCCGGCCTCCAGCTTCGCCGATCCCTCCCCGCTCGGGCAAATGGGCGTTCCTGTGATCGGGGCCACCGGGGCCGGTCGCGCCGGGTCCGAGGTCCCCCGGTCGCCGGTGAACTTTGTCTCCGGCACCACTCCCTCGGCCTCGCGCTTGTCCTTCGGCCCGGACAGCTACTCGCAACTGTCTTCCTCGCTGGCCGACGGGTCGCGCACGCTGCCTGCCACTCCGGCTTCCAGCCTCGCCGAGTCTTCCTTCCTCAGCGGATCACTCTCGACCTCGGCTGCCGCGGGTCGCATGAACTTCGTGTCCGGGGCCACGCCCTCCTCCGCGCCGGGATTCGTCCGGTCGCCGTCCACCGGCACACCGCTGGACATGGCGGCCCCCGCGCCCTCGGCCACGGCGGCCCCGATGCCGGTGGCCACGCGCGGCTTTTTCGTCGCCTCCCCCGGGTCTCCTCCTGGGGCTGTTGTCACGGCCGCCACGCCGGCTGCCGGTACTGCTGGGTCTCCGACTGCCCTGTCGATTTCGGACTTCTCGGCCCATGGGCGCCCCTTGCGGCGTGGATCGGGTGCCGGACTGCCGGTCCTCGGTGCCGGCAGCCCTCCCCCCTCGGCGGCATCCTCCTTCTCGGAGGTCGGCCGGTCGCCGCTGGCCGGGCCGGGATCGCCCTTCCACCTCAATAAGGCCCCCCCGCCTGGGGCCATTCCCATGCGCATGAATGGCCCGTCGCCGGCCTTCGAGCTGGGCGTCTCGCCGGCCGGGGCGTCTTCCTTCCTGGCCGAGTCCCTGGCCGTTGCCTCGCTAAGTGCCACCCCCATGGCCGCCGGGTCCCTGGCCATCCCCATCCAGGGTGCTGGTGCTGGCATTGGTGCCGGTGCCGGTGCCGGTGCCGGTGCCGGTGCCTCGACCATTGTGCCCTCTGTCCACCCGCTGAATTCCCCCCCGCGGAATGTGGTCATCACGGCCCCCGGGTCCTCCTCACCCCCGTACTCTCCGGCCTTTGCCACCGGCGGCCCGGCCCTCGGGGCGTCGCCCACCTCCAGCGATCTGGCCAGTGGTTCCACCAGCCCCGGCAGCCAAAGCCTTCCCCCGACCCCGGCGTCGACCCCCTTCGGCACGCCGGCCACCCCGTCGTCCACTCCCTCGGCCATGGTCACCGATTCGCGCTATTCCTCCTACGCCCAGTCCATGTCGGCCGCTGTGACGGCCAGCAATGCGCAGCAGCTGCTGGCTGCGGCGGTCGAGCAAATTGCCCAGGCCGATCGCCAGCGCAGCCGCAGCAACAGTACCACCACCACGCCCAATTCCACCGCCAGCGCCGCCACCGGCCGCGGCTCCGCCACCCTGGCATCTCCCACCCCCGTGGCCACCAATGTCCCGCTCTACAATGTGGACATCCCGCTCCCTGGGGATGACCTCTCCGAGGCCGACCTGTCCTTCGACTCGCTGATGCTCCTGCCGAGCCTGCCGGAGACTGCGGCCCTCGGCGGTGGCGGGGCCATCGGCGGGTCGCGCTTGGCCGCCATTTCCGGCGAATCCGGCTTCCGCGGCGGGGCTGTCTATGATGCGGCGGCCGCTCGGCCCGATGACTCGGACGTCTCGGACCTGCCGGATTCCGACCTCGACAGCGACCTCGAGGGTGACTCGATTGCACAGCCGGAGATCGGCGCCGGGGGCCAGCATACCGGCCCGGCGGCCGTGCCCATCAGCATGGGGTCCAATTCGTCTGCGGCCGCGGCTGCCGCCGCCTCCAGCAACAGCATCTATGCCAGTTCCCTGCCGATGGTGATTCCTCCACGGGGCCCGGTCCCCGTGGTCAAGGACGGCGACCGGTGGCGCAACGGTGACATCTCTTCCGACTCTGATGAGGGGTCCTTCATCGCGCCGCACATTTTGTCGGCCTCGCTGGCCAACTCTTCCAAGCTGAAGGCTCGCCCGGCGGCCGATGCGCCGGAGTCCCCGACTGCGGTGGATGTCGACACCGAGGCTCTGCTGGGCTCGTCGGTGCCCAACGCCCGGGTCACCTCGCGCGGTGCTCCGGACTTTGCTCTCTGAAATATGCCTCCGGCCACAGTTTCACCGATCAGCCGCCATTCGCCTTTCTCTCTTTCAGGAAACACGAAAAAAAAAAGGGCCGGGGTGGGGGCGAGAGTCAGGTCGCGGAGAGCCGGACAGGGCGATGGGACACACTTCCTTGTGTCTTCTCTCCTCCCCTCCTCCTCCTCCCCCCTCCCCCGCCCCCCCGTTTTCCTCCTCCCTCTCCTCTTCCTCTTGCCTCACATTCGATGTGTAGACTGGTCCTGGTCTCTTCCTTTTCAGTCTTCTGTTCGCACCAGTCTCCCCCCCCCCAACTCTCTCCTCTTCGCCCGAACGACATGGTGAAGCCCCCGCCCAGGCGCATCCAGTGCCTTTGTGCCACATTCCCTCTCTCTCTCTCTCTCTCTCTCTCTCTCTTTCCGTCTCTCTGCCTCTCCCTTTTCCCCCCCAGTTTTTCTTTCCTCCCTTCCTGAGGAATACCCAGGAAAGGAGGGACAGCCCGCGAGAGGAAGGACGACTCGTTCTCAGACAAGCGCGCACGCGCTCCTGGCTCCGCCTTCTTCGCCTGCCTCGCTCCCTCTGCCCCCTCCCCCCCTGCCCTTGCCAACTGTACCATACCCCCTCTCCTGCTCCTCTCGACTCCATCGAATGGCAATACACTTCGCGTTTCGACACCCCGTGTTTTCCCCCCTCCCCGGCGCCCCCTGTTGTTGGGTTTGACCACCGGCAGCACCGCCACTCCGGTGGGCAAGCTCCTTCACGGCTGGCGTGCTTGTCCTCGGGAAAAGTGGTCTCCGAAGAGAGGACGCCAGATGTCCGGGAAAAGACCCCCCCCCCCCGCCGCAGCAGCTGGCAAGGGTGTGGTCTCGCGAGGGGGAGGACAATCCCAAAAAAGCAGACAACAAAAACACCAGGGGCTTTGCTTGATTTTGAAGTGTAGTGACACAGGCAGGTTTGTACGCATGCATGTGCGTATGGCATGGCAGTACGCCGGCGACGACAGCATAGCAGCAGTGACATGAAGGAAGGCGGCGCAGAGGGGGAAAGAGACAGGGACACAGACAAGGGCGGCACATGCACAGGCGCGCGCACGCGCGCATCGACACCTTTCTCCACACCACCCACCACGCACACGCACACGCATATCTTTTGGCGGGCATGCAGCACGGACGCTTAGATGAACTTCTTGTCGACGGCGTTGTGGCGGTTGTCAGGGAGCTCAGTGGCGTAGTTGCCGACGGGATAGGCGTTCGGGTACTTGGCCAGCATCTCCAGCATCTCCTTCTGCTGGGCCTTGAGCAGGGGGGTCGGCTCGTCGTAGACGTCGGTGAACAGCTCGGCGATGGGGGGCTTGGGCTGCTTCTCGGCTGTGTGCATGACAGCACAAACGTGTGCAAGGGAATGCGCGTTGTGTTTCCACCATGGCCCCGTTTTTGGTCAGTGGCAGTCCTGGATGTCATATACTTGTGTGTGTGTGTGTGTGTGTGTGTATGGGCCGGTTTCCCGGCCCGGGGCCCTGTGCGGCGGGCGCCGCGCGGCGGAAAGGGGGACAGCGAAGGCAAGGGCGGTACAGGTGGGGCAGGAGGGAGGATGCATGGGAGGCAGAGGCACGCACCGCGAGCGAAGGAGTCCACAATCTTGGCACGGGTCTCCTTCTGGTGCTCGACCTCGAGCTCGTCGTTCCACAGGTTCATGGACTCAAGGTAGCCACGGACACGGGTGATGGGGTTGTCCTTGGTCTGCCAGTCGGCGACCTCCTCACGGGGGCGGTAGGCCGAGGAGTCATCGGAAGTAGAATGGTGGCCAGCGCGGTAGGTCATGGCCTCGATGACGACCGGGCGGTTCTTCTCGAGGGCCAGGCGACGGGCCTCCTTGGTGGCGTTGAAGACGGCGAAGATGTCATTACCATCGACACGGATGGTGTGGATGCCATAAGCAGGGCCACGGCCACCTGCATGGTTGTGAGGATGTGGTGGGGGGCCCGAGAAAAGAGGCCACGCCAGGTGCATAGGGGCGCGGGGAGAGGCGGCGGCCGGAGGGACATTGGTCAGTGGCACGATGGCGGGGACCCGCGGGGGACAGACACACGCAATGGACCAGACCCAGAGGTATGTATCCTTCTTGGGCTACGCACCGATACCGTCACCCTTGTACTGCTCGGAGGAGGGGGTGGAAATGGCGAAGCCGTTGTTGCGGCTGTTTTCCCGTCACATTCGGCGATAGTGTGCGTGTGCCCGGCGTGTCAGTGTCAGCATGTGCGTTGGCATGGTGGGTTGCGAGGACCGGCGCAGGGGCATGCGTACCAGAAGAAAATGACCGGGCAGTTGGTGGTGGAAGCGACGTTGAGAGCGGCATGGAAATCACCCTCGGAGGCGGCACCCTCACCGAAGTAGCACATGACGACGGACTCCTTGCCGGCACGCTTCAGGGCGTAGGCAGCACCAGCAGCCTGGGGCAGCTGGGTGGCCAGGGGCGAGGAGATGGTCTGGAAGTTGAGAGCGCGAGAGCCATAGTGAACCGGCATCTGGCGACCCTTGCCCGGGTCCAGGGCATTGGAGTAGCACTGGTTCATGAAGTCGTCCAGGGTGAAGCCACGGTGCATGAGCACACCAGCCTCGCGGTACTGCGAGAAGATGTGGTCATCGAGGGTCAGGGCGGCGGCCGAGCCGAAGTGCGAGGCCTCCTCACCGTAGTTGGTCATGTAGAAGGAGATACGGCCCTGGCGCTGGGCGTCGTAGAGGATCTTGTCCATCATGTTCAGCTGGACCATCTGCTTGTAGACGGAAACGAGGTTCTCGCCGGCCAGCTCGGCCGGGATCTGGGCCTCATCAAGGATCTTACCAGCGCGGTCCATCACGCGGTAGGTGGGCAGGGGGGCGTTGCCATCGACGAAGGCCAGGTCCTTGGTGTAGGGGGAGCCAATGGCACCGGGGTACTGGCTGGTGGCCGGGGCGGCGGCGCTGGAATAGAGGGCGCGGCCGGCCACCATAGGGCGGAGGCTGCGAATCTGGGCGAAGGCGCGAATCATGTCGACCTGTGTGGCGGAGCGCAGCACGCGGCAGGGAACAGGCGGGAGGAGCATGGACAGGGGGCGTGTGAGTGGGGTGTGTCGGCATGATGGGGCGCGCCTGCCTCAAGGAGAGGGGATGTATCAATATATATATATGTGTGTGTGTGTGTGGTGGGGGCCAGTGCACACACACACACACACACACACACGCGTGCGCGCGCGTGGGCGCGCGTACGCCCGCATGCGCCCGCGGGCGACAAGGGGTAGGAGGGAGGCCGGGGGGATGTGGTTGTGGGAGGGAGCGGGAGGACGGGGGAGGCGGGCGAGAGGCGTACAAAGGGGAGAGGTGCGAGAGAAGGAAATCGACAGGAAAATCTCTGCCTGCGCTCCGAGGGGGGCCAGGGTGGTCCCCGGGGGCCGAAAAACCGGACCGAGCAGCAGCATCAGCGCACCAGGCCCCGAGGTGGCGCGGTCTGCAGGAGGCGGTGCCGGATGTTGCCGCAAGTGTGCCACCACACCCACGGAGCCATGCCCCCCCCCCCCCACCCACCCATTCGCCCTCAACGCGGGAGGAATCCACCACTGCCCCTCCGTCAGCCATGCTTGGGGCCAGCCCCGGAGGACGGAGGGGAAATCCCCAGCCCATTGGCGGGCGTGCCGCCGGGCGCGCATGAGCAGCTGCCAATACACAGCGGTCACACCGGGCGCCGGAGTGGGGAACAGGGGTGCCCTCCTCCGGGAATCTGTTCCAGCCGACATCCCGGGCCGGAAGCGAGGGGCTGCAAGCAGGGTGTTGACCCCACCAGCCGGGCCCCAGGGGGAGGGCCGTCCAGTGGCAATTACACCCCGTGCGGAGTCTGGCCGTCGTGTGGCCGCTCGCTCGCGTGCGTACGTGTGTGCGTGTGCATGCGTGCGCGTGCGTGCGCGCGTGCGTACAAGGGCGGCGAGCCCCATGTTGTCGGGTAGTGACACCCCCTCCGAGGCTGGGGAGGTGGGCGGTCGCGCTCGCCCTCGCCGGGCTCCGGCCCGAGGCAATGGCAGGCTAGGTGCTTGGTGCCGACCCATTGGGAATATGTGTCTCCCCCCGGCCCTCTGCCGAGCGAGCCTGGCACACGACGCTTCGCCTGAGCTTGGGCCCTCCGCCCCTGCCGCCACTCACAAGGGCTTGGGCCTCAGGGGGGGCACACTAGTCGCGGCCGAGTCCCCCCTCGCCCCTCACAGGTGGGGGGCCATGTGCGGGTGGTTCCCCCCCTCGAGGATGAATGTTTCTCTCTCTCTCTCTCTCTCTCTCTCTCTCTCTCGTGCCCCGAGTCGCCGGCCTCCCCCGTCTGCCGCACGGCCGTGAGGCGGGGATGCAGCCCGGGCCTCCCGCGCAAGTACGCAAGGGTCTGGTGGTCGGTGCGTATGCACCTGGGAAACAACATTCTACAAACTCCATTACGAACGCGTGATACACTAGGCCAGAGGCATCTCGTGATACCATGACTGGGTACCCTGTGAGGTATCCCATCGGCGAGTCCCATTTTAGTGTCGCATCGTTAGATCTGCGCGTTGGCCCGACGAACCTCCGGTTGCCGTGACCTCGGACCCCCTGCATGTTCGTGCGGCTGGCGGCCCCTTCGTCTCCCTGCCTCTGACTGACAGGACCCGCTCGAGGCGAGGGGGGGGGG